TCAACCCCCGCAAACACAAATAGGTGAGTAAACACACACACACACACACACACACACACACACACACACACACACACACGGTCGTAAACTATAAGTGATTTTGTCTATCGGCATGAACTATCTCCACCATTCCCTCGGCCTCGCCCAACTTGATTTAAATTTCCTTCAAGAAACGTGACTAGAAGCTGGTTCAAAGATGCTCACAAAAAAGAACGTAAAAATCGGAAGATTGCAGAGTAAAATAGTGTACCTATACATATGCATTCACGACAGACAAGACTTGGGGGAACGTACACATTGTCAACTGGACTCTCTCCCATGATAAGTCTCTCTCTTGTAATTATAGAAACATAAGAATTATAGAAACTGTAGAAGGCATAGTGGGCTATACCCCGGCAGCTCCATTTTTATACCCGTCTAAACTCATTCCTATACATGTCTAACTTACGCTTGAAACAATAATTAACCACCGTTTGAAACCAACTATTATTCCCTGGTCTCTGAAGTGACTTAATAGCCTTGTTTGTGCTCTCGAGAGCAGATATTGGCCCAAGGTAACAGGGTATATCAACGGTATAGGTTAAGTAATAATTGTAATTAAGAAGCAATAAGATGCTTATCTTAACATACTAAGAAGGTTAGGTGAGGTCGATGTTTTCTATGAAGCTTTTCAAGGTAAACTAAAATATTTACAATCAATTAGAATGTCACATATGCACTTATTAAATAAGCCAATATTGACTAGAAGCAAGTGCGAGAACGGGTTGGACAGGGACAGCACAATACTCCGAAATTGTTGCCGAGAAATGCCAGCAATACAAGTCTTAAACTGCTATTATGGATTATTTATTGAGCACATCTCAAATTTGCAACTTTGAAATAATTTATTCGTAATTGTACAATTAGCTTGACCCTTGCAAAGCTACACACACCTCGCGGCTGTGTGGACAGCGCTCGGGAGTAGTAGTCCTATGGGCCCTGGTTCGATTCCCGGCCAACATAGTCGGCAGGGAATCGAATCCGGGTCCATACGAGGCAGAAACAATTGGGCAGAGTTTCTTTCACCCTGATGCCCCTGTCACCCAGCAGTAAATAGATACCTGGGAATTAGACAGCTGCTACGGGCTGCTTCCTTGGTGTGTGTGTTGGAGAGAAATATATGTAGTAGACATAAGAGGAAAAATAAAATGGTTAGAAAGACGGGGTCCAAGAGCTAAAAGCTCGATTCTACAGATAAAAATACAAATAGTAAATACACACACACTATCTAAATATAAAGCCTAATAAAATTAAATATGTCACTGGAATACAGAATTAGGGAATACACGATTACAACATACAAAGTTCTAAGGGGAATTGACAGAGCAAACTAGGACATTTCTGGAATAAGGGATACACGACAAGGGAACAAATGAAAACAGAATACCAAAAAGAGCCACAGAGACAGTAAACCCCGACAGACCACTGGAACATTATCTAACACAGTACACAGTTACACACACAACAGACCACTGGAACATTATGTTACACACACAACAGACCACTGGAACATTATGTTACACACACAACAGACCACTGGAACATTATCTAACACAGTACACAGTTACACACACAAAAGACCACTGGAACATTATCTAACACAGTACACAGTTACACACACAAAAGACCACTGGAACATTATCTAACACAGTACACAGTTACACACACAACAGACCACTGGAACATTATCTAACACAGTACACAGTTACACACACAACAGACCACTGGAACATTATCTAACACAGTACACAGTTACACACACAAAAGACCACTGGAACATTATCTAACACAGTACACACTTACACACACAACAGACCACTGGAACATTATCTAACACAGTACACAGTTACACACACAACAGACCACTGGAACATTATCTAACACAGTACACAGTTACACACACAACAGACCACTGGAACATTATCTAACACAGTACACAGTTACACACACAACAGACCACTGGAACATTATCTAACACAGTACACAGTTACACACACAGCAAACCACTGGAACATTATCTAACACAGTGCACAGTTACACACACAACAAATCGCTGGAACATTATCTAACACGGTGCAGAGTTACAAACCCATTAAGATTTCAACTTAGATTCAACAGAGCAGAGGGTGTTAAACACAAGGGACGAAATCTTACTGAAGCGACCATACGAGTCATAAATACTCATACTCCACCCACGTAAAACAGAACCAAGCAACACTTAGTGGGCCAGCCAGAGGCTTAGGGCCCGCGCAGGAATATCCCTGCCAAAAAAAAAATAATAGGATTATTTTTAGCGTCATAATAGAGAACAAATGGAAAGCACTATACAGGTAAATGGTACAGGCAGACTTTAAATAAAGTTTCAGATGCAGATTCGGCTATGCATAATAGGCTTGGAAACTTCTATTCCAGTTGTCTGAAGGCTGAGACAGCAAGGATAACAAAAAAAACATAAGCTAAACTTCAGCAGTCACAATTAGGCAAGTACTCCTACCCCAACCAATTCAACCCCCCTCCCACCACCACGTTTCAACCGCCCAACCATGCTTCTAACTCTAGCCTCTCTTACAAACCCACCAACTTCTCCCCCCCCCCCTATCCAATCCCTAACCACCTCCCACTCCACACCTGCCACCCCCACACCTGCCCCATTCCCGTCCCAACCAGCCTCTCATGTTCGACATTCTCCTAATTGTACTTATTGAGTTTGAACTTTCACCTCTTCGGTCACGCCCCCCCCCCTCGACTTAAGTTTTAAGGAGGATAGCTTAAACGTGTTATAAAATATTTTCTACTCTATCGAATTCTTCTAAAGCACACTTATGATTGTATTCCAAGTATCAAAATCAACATGATGGGTACGACATATTGCCAGAAACACTCCAAGACTGGGTAGTTGCGGAAATTAGCTATGAGTTCTTCGTTATGCGTTATTAATCATAAATGGCTGTGCTTTGGTTTTTATACTTATTGCGTGATACTAATTTATTCGCTCATTGCTTACGAACAACGAGTTTACAATCACGAGAAGCTTTTTTTATGCCTAACATCTAAATAAATGTTGATATATATTAAGTATCAGTATTAGTGAAAATGTTATATCATAATTGCTATTGGTCAAAAATATTGGTGTCGTAACCTCTACTTCAAATCTTTTAAGTTTTTATTCTGTTTTCAAGGTTTATGTTTTATACTGGCGTCACTATTCGGTACTGGCCTCAGACTTTGATTTTTAAAATAAATCTTGATTTAAGATTCGAATGGTTATTGCGTTCGCTATTTTATGACATGCTCTTATCATTATTAATTAAATATAGGCTAATTACTCTTCAGGTGAGAAGTCCTGAGGAGCCTATGTTATTTATTTGTGCGTGTTCGATTTTACATACAAAATCCTGATGCATCAAATAAATACAGTACTGTATTAACCCGCATATAAATATTATATGCGGGTTAATAGAGTCCTTTTATTAGGACTTTCCTTATGCAAATAATGTACTGAAATATTGTGGAAACCAAATTATACAGGCGATGAGTCACAATAACGTGACTAAAGTATGTTGACCAGACCACACACTATAAGGTGAAGGGACGACGACGTTTCGGTCCGTCCTGGACCATTCACAAGTCGAAACGTCGTCGTCGTCCCTTCACCTCCTAGTGTGTGGTCTGGTCCACCAAATTATAATTTTACACCCATTTATGAATAACGTTTTTAAATCAGAATAAAGATCCGACAACAAATACTTGTCCTGCCAAACTCCTCACAAGCAAGAATAACAGCCGGCTAAGATGACCAGCTGAATCGTCACTTATTTCCCCTACAATTACAAACACCCTTGTTCCTCCAGCAACGTCACGGATGACCTTTAGGTGACCTTTGCGGCGGCGTCTGAGTTTCGAGACCTTGAACCTGGAGCTGGGGTCTTGAGTTAACAATGATCTGCAAAGTCATTCTGCCAGCCCATATGGGTGCAATCGATTTATTAGTATTAATTTGATTACCGTCACTATCACATTATGATTGCAATACTATGTCGTTATAGTTTTAAGGTTATCTGCATTGGTTAACTTTATGTTTTGTATTAACAAGCATATCAGTTATCGGGATATACTTATGATAAAAATGTTTCAGCTGAACGTCAAAATCATGTTAAAACTTTAAACTGTTTACATTTGCATGGACTCCACTAGTTAATACAGAAAAATGTCTGTCTTACGCCTTGCACAATTCAACACCAACATTATTTAAAAATTATCGAACACAAGAAAATTTAAAGAAAATAAAGATTTAACAATGATTTAAGTAATCTCTAATAAGACGAAACACATTATGTAGAAAATATTTTCCTTTTAAACGTGACGAGTAGCTCAAAGAATCTGTTAACACGTTCAATAAGTAAATAATAAAAAAGAGCATTAACACTGAAATTTATTCCAAATTGAATTGATAGTTGAAACAATGATGAATTTGTAAACCAGTTTTAGTTGATAGATCAATTAAGAAATTCCAGACAGCCAAGTTCATCAATCAACAATTGACAAACAATTACAGCTTCATTGGAAGTACAGTAGTCCAAAAGTAACTTCAACAACTATGCCCAAATTAAGAAAGATAAAAAAGAGAGAAATTAAACTGCACTTACTGTCTACATTTCTATTAAAAAAAAATAACAACAATCCTATTCTCTTCAGAGTATGGCGAAACCCTTAGAAGATAATCTTGTAGGCTTCCTTAACCAACAAACTACAACTCGCCAACTACGCATGATCTAAGAAATAGCCGAGATGCAGCATTTATTTTCGTCTGTCCCTGATTGGCACGAATAAATGAAATGCTATGAGTTTCATTTCATTTGGCAGGAACGTACCACTTAAATCACCAACGTATGTCCCTTTCACAACCCATTCTGCCTTCTTCTCTGTAAATAAATAAATAAATAAATAAATGGATCACTTACCCGTACCCATGTGAATCCTCGTTGTCATGCTGTGAATGACCTGTGGTGAAGGAGTGGGACCGTCATACAAGGTCTTAACCCTTCCCCTTATTAATATTCGGGATCACCATCTCACGCTTTCATTTTTCAAGGTCACTGCTTTTCAATAATTACCCCTTTTTTCAAATTTTCATTCACTGATTAAAACACTCGTGTTAAAAATTAACAGATATTTGCTAACTGACTGCTTTGTAATTTTCTAATCACACACACACACTGATTAAGACATTTTAATTTTCAGCAACTACACATCCACTAATTACAAAATATTTATTTTTCAATTTCACTATAAATTCACCTACTGTATTATTTAATGTACACATATTACGGATCAAAACTAAAATCACAATTACAATTTTTTTTCTTCAAAGTCACTATTGATAATATCACAATTTATTAAAGCTTGTAAGTTAAACAGTATATTCACTTTTCCTACATGCTTGGGGAAAAAAACATTTATAAATTAAACATTTATAAATTAAATATTCTATGTAAAATATACAAAGAATTTAACATGCTCTAAAGTAATCAATAGAGTTTGGGGTATATTAAATTAAATATGTAATAAAAATAGAGCTTTACTAAAGTATCTAATGGTTAAGCAAAGCACCTGCAGATCTGTAGTGCTATCTTCATGTGTTTTTTATTTTTTGCGAATTATGATATAAAAAAAACTAGCTACAATTTCCACCGCGTTCATTTTGTTAAATAATCTGTACTTCTTTTCTGGGATATATATTGCTTACTGACTCTCCAACAAACTTTGCCACTGGTGTTGAGTCAAATGTAGCATCACTTAAATATTTTATATTTATATACTCGCTTCACTGCATTTAAAACACGCCCCAAAGGCACTGAAGGATCACAGTCATGTAGGCGTGAGTGGATTTTTTGTTTCCAAAGTCTCAATACACATAACTTGACTAGCACAACATTAATTGCCTTATGAAAATTAAAAATATATATATATAAACTACCTCGTAGTTAATATAGAGAATATCATTGGCAACTTGGAGTTCCAGAAACTTGTTCAAACACAAAGTTAAGAGTTCCATTTCCGATCGATTATTTCCACTAAACTATTTTCTATGAGTTTCGAGGCCGAAATTGATCACTTAACTCTACAGTTTATATATTGGTATGACTCCAGTGTTGACAGTTCGTGAAAATTGGGTATAATTATGTCGCAAATAATATTACTTAAAATACTGGACTGCAATTTAACTCGCGCAAAAATCAGATATAAACAGCAGAGATCACTATACAGTTTTCATGGCCACTTCATGACAAGTATTGATCAGTAACATAGTCACTATCGGCAGGTAATGACTATTTAAAACAGTGTGTTGCTGGCTACATTGAAAAGAGAAAACTTAGGAGACTCTGAAGGTTGGTAACAACGTCTTGTCAACACGTAAAACTTCACACAGGGAACAACATCACTGGTAAACTTGATGTTTCTTCAAAAACTCTCTCCTAGAAGCCATTGAGAATTACTACCGGCCATCCAGGAAGACTCGGATAAATCCTTATCCAAGTGTGATGCGATTGGGAGAAAAGCTCACACTCTCACACCCACACACGGCAAGTGTGTGTACCTGGACCATCGGGCGCCACCACACCTCCCCGGCCGGCGGCATGCCCAACACTGAACCCCGAGACAGCCAGCTCAACTTACCCTCTCCTGGAGAGGTTAGTCTGCGCCGCCCACTGTCTCACCTGTCTCCTTCTTCTGCCAGCCGGTGTGGGGGTGTGTGCCTGTGTGGCCTTACTTTTGCTTTTTTTCCCTTGCCAGACATGAGCTTTATAGGTCTTAGTTCCGGAGCCTCCCCCATGCAAACACACAGCGCAACGGTGTCTATTGTTCCTTCTCCCCCCCTTTGCTACAAGTTGTAGCAAAGGTGTTACGTCTCGTTATAAAGTTTTTATGACGGTGTTAGAATGTTGTTACAACTTGTTTGAACGTCGTAGTTTCGTGGTATGTTTCACGGGTCTCCACCTGCATCGACTGTTTTTGTTTGGTGGTAGGTTTAAGGCCTATCAACTCCTGGAAGGTTATTTAAGGTGGATGCTTAATTCTTACTGACCAACAACCAAGAATTATTTAGTCTTCAATTCTGAGTGACAAATAATTTGAATCCGCTCCAAATAAGACACACTGAACATCATGACAAACTACATCTTCATCAACAAACCCCAACATGTTTGTAATAGCCTCATGACTGCACTTATTACCTTTATTGCAAAACACGTCGAAAAAACTTTTAACGCTTTTAACACAGTGTGGCACTAAAACTAAAATACAAAATCTACAGCCACTTAGGACAATCAAGACACTATGTAGAAACGTATTTGCAGCTTCTTGTCAAACAGAAAGATGCAAATCAGGTTCCTGAATAAACTGCCTAACTTCTTCAAGCTGAATGTTGGAGTTCCCCAGGGGATCAGTTCTCGCCACAAACCCGAACCCTGTATATAATATTATACCAAGGACATGCCTGGCCCTTTATGCAGCAATTCAGTGACCATTTGCTGTGTTGATGACATCACCCAACTAATCACAGGCCATGCAACTGACAACCCATCCTATAAAGTACAGGATGAAAGTGACACGATGGTTACCGGCTATTCATGCCCGTGCTACCTCTTGGGTGGCTAAATCTTCATCAATCATCACGATGAGAATATGACTAGCGAATTCAGATAAACCCTATGAAATCTTAAATTGAGGATTTATATATATATATATATATATATATATATATATATATATATATATATATATATATATATATATAATAATTCGTTCTCACAAAATTCCTCTATAATAACAAAACGAAATCCTATTCAAATTATACACTCCATTCCGCAATCCAGCATAGACATTCCAGTCTCAAACTTTACCACAGAATTAAGACCTCACACTTGACAACGACCTACCCACACTCACTGACCCCTAACCCCTAACAAGTAATAGCATTCAAAGCTAATAGCTGACGCTACATACTCAGAAACGCCAAATCTCGAAGCTGCACTTGACTTCATTCTCAATTCACAAGCCTGAATCCCAGGTTTGATTTCTGGGCGGAACACAAATGGTTAGGAATGTTTCCTTTCACCTAATGGTAATGTTCATCTAGCAGTAAATAGATACCCAGGAGTTAGACAACTGTTATGGGGTTGCATCCTTGGGAAGGTCGGTAGTTCAACCTTGGACGGGGAAGAAGGACCTCGATACAAGCCTAAAGTACTTCTCTACACAGACTTCCTGTCCCTGACACAACAAATTAATTCTTCCTCTCATCACATATGCGCCTATCACACTCTCTCCCTAGCAGCAAAATTCAACAAAAAGAAAATCCAGACTTAGCTATGCAACACATTCTAGTATATAATAATATGCATTTATATTTGAGGAAATACAAAATTTAAATACGCTGTAAGTTAAAATTTATGAATGCGTCTTTGGGGTCAGCCACAGTTTGGACGAGCATAGCCTGAAGATGGGTTGGTTAAACATTGCATTTAAATTAATATGACTCAAAGGCATTATATTTGCAAAATATTTGATACAAAGAAAAGATGTGTCCATGTCCACTGTATCAGCTCAGGGTTATAAGATTATATGATATCATTTACATATGAAACATTAAATGTTTGCATATGGGAAGAAACTTTTAATCGCGATATCTAGTAGAAAGCTACTGTATTTAACAAAGTGTTGCATATATTAAAATACCTAAAATGTTGAGTCCAATTTGTTGACGTTTGGGTGACACGAGAAACTCAACGTTAAATATTTTCCATGTTAGTGTTTTTCAACATAACAACATAGTCATTCGTACTCAATGTTATATGATGGATGCCGTTCATACAGAATACATAAATTACGCCAGTGTCTACATCAAATCCATTTTTATCTGCGTTTAGGCAGATGTGACATAATCTTCAATATTGAAGCTCCCTTTCACTTTTATATCGGGGATGCTGAAACAATGACATCCCTGTGTGGTGGAAGAGACATGTTGTTGCGGACAGAATGAGGCTTGGGCCATTGTTGTCAGCAGCCGGCGTATTGAACAGATTAAGTCACAACTCCAGGACAATGCTCTCTCTCTCTTACTGGAACTGGGCGCACCACGGCTGCAAAGTTGAGCGGAGATGCGACCTACACTATCGTATGAAACGGAAATAAGTTTGAGGAAGTATCGATAAGAACTTTTGTTTCATTTTTGTTTTTACTTCAGGAGAACGAGGTATACGAGCACTGGTGTTTGGTATTGCTACAGGAGGACAAGATATACGACCAGTGGTGTTTGGTATTGCTACATCAGGACAAGATATACGACCAGTGGTGTTTGTTATTGCTACATCAAGACAAGATATACGACCAGTAGTGTTTGTTATTGCTACATCAGGACAAGATATACGACCAGTAGTGTTTGTTATTGCTACATCAGGACAAGATATACGACCAGTAGTGTTTGTTATTGCTACATCAGGACAAGATATACGACCAGTAGTGTGTGTTCTTGCTACACGAGGACAAGATATACGACCAGTGGTGTTCATGCTATTAAGGAGGACGAGTATATGACCAGTCAGGTTGAAATACACTTCTTGTGGTGGATACCTTCACTACAGGTGTACCAGGTGTATTGTAGAAGCTAACTCTGAGATTGGCCTGTCACACTTAGTGAGGGTGGTAGGGATGAAAGGTCCACACACACAGAGTGAGCGAGAATCCTCCCTCTCACAGAGGGAGAGGGAGGATTCTCACTCACTCTCTCATAGAGGGAGAGAGAGGTACCCCATTTAAGAAATTGCAGAATAAGAAGCATCAGCATTTTACTTTTAAGATTCTGTTTGAGGTCTGTCTCCCTTACCACAGACACTACTGTTACTTGAGGCTGTTTGGGTGTCGCAATCTGCCCTCGGGGAGGAATTCCGCTCACAGTAATGGATTGAGAACGACTACGTAATTTAGTGCTAATATTTACCCTCAATCCATGGTTAGGTTACTTTACGTTAAAGTTTGGTTAGATTTTATTACATTTGGTTACGTTAATATGATGTAATATTATCCAAAATGTGACGTATAATTCGAAAACTCTTTAAGTATACCCTTGAATTTTGCTTACAGAAAACCAAATTCTTCAGACCCTCTAAAAGAAAACGTTTTCAGCACATATTTTTTTATATTTTAAACCAATTATTTATATTACACTAAAGTTATAACTTGAGAATAATCTGTTTAGGACCAAGGTTCACTTACCAGTTTGCAAGCAGACAATTATTGGAACCGTAATATGCTTTCAGACCATGACAAATATCTAAATAACTACGTAGGTGGTTTGATGGGGCAGTTAGTTGCTCAAGGTAATGGATTTGCTTTGAGGACGGGCTCCAAGATTGACAGAGTTCATGAAACGCTTAACAAAATTTACTATTTTGTATATGATTAACATTGAATTCTACTTGCTGTTTTCCAGGCTAGACCAGTCTATATGTCTCTAGCATGTACATCACGAACCTCCCTCTGATCTGATACACAGAGAAACTTGGCAAAAAAACATGTTCAGGGACACTGTAAATTTTTTCGAGTTAAGAGCTCTTTGACTGAGGTCAGTGACCTTAAAAAACGGGAGAAACATCCTCATATTACTATGTTTATTCATTATAAGTGATCAATACATTGCTGAGCTGTCATTCTTATTTTGTGGTCTCCTTATCGGTATTTTCTTCGTATCATTACTTGCCGTCACTTGGGAGGACGTGTATACTACAGGGGATCCTCGATGTGTACAGTAATGCAAGGTACTGGTAACGCTAGTACGTTGCCTGAGCGGCCATATCACCCTGAACAGACCGCATACTAGAAGGTGAAGGGACGACGACATTTCGGTCCGTCCTGGACCATTCTCACAATCGACTTTGAGAATGGTCCAGGACGGACCGAAACGTCGTCGTCCCTTCACCTTCTAGTGTGTGGTCTGGTCAACATACTTTAGCCACGTTATTGTGACTCATCGCCTGGATATCACCCTAAATGTTGTGAAGAGTGTTGATCATTCATCTCAGTGGCACACTGGTGACCTCCAGTATCCAGTCATGATGATGCGTCATGAAGTGTCTTGATGATTTGTGATCACAAAGATGTAAATGTCTTTCTAGTTTAAAAAAAAAAGATTGAAGGTATTTGGATGCGAAGCCTCATCATCACTTCACGAGGGCTTGTTTTCTATACGATTTATCTTTTTAGCAAAATAACTGTATGGTAGATTTCATACCACTTGGTTTTATAAATGTCAATGTGAGAGCACCCCCTTAGGCTTCATGTAGTACAATGATATCAAAATACCGTAGAGTTGCATATACCGTATTTCATTGCTGCAAATAGGATGTGCTTGAAAGTGATGCCCAACATTACTGTCACTGTGTTATGAATTGTCCAGGCACTAAAGAGGCTCACTTTTATTCTCTCGGCATATATTATCATCTAAGTTTGTTCAAGAAAGTGTTTAGGAAGATTTATCAATCCACGGAGAGTTGTTGCTTTAGATTAAGCTACTCAGAACGAAATGTCCATGTAGCACGGGCTTTAAGTTATTACGTAAGTTATTACGAAACGCGTTCAAGTGTCGCGTCAGACTAGAAATAAAAATGAATTTTGGAGAAT